TTGAAATATCCTGAAAAATACTTTAGAGTATCAGATCGACTTGAAACTTTCAGGATTCATTAGCCAGGATCTTTTTATCAAATAAGGCTAATTTGGAGTCAATCTGAAGTTCAGAAATAAAATTATGAGGTTTTTTTCAACTTAGGACCAGAAAAAGTTGGAAAATACACGTTAAGTCTCCATTTGAAAAATCCTTAAAAATACTTTGGAGTATCAGATCGACTTGAAACTTTCAGGATTCACTAACCAGGAGCTTTTTATCAAACAAGCTAAATTTGAAGTCAATTTGTGGCTCAGAAATGAAATGATGAGGTTTTTTTCAACTTAATACCATATAAAATTAGAAAATTTACGTTAAATTACCTTTGAAATATCCTGAAAAATACTTTAGAGTATCAGATCGACTTGAAACTTTCAGGATTCATTAGCCAGGATCTTTTTATCAAATAAGGCTAATTTGGAGTCAATCTGAAGTTCAGAAATAAAATTATGAGGTTTTTTTCAACTTAGGACCAGAAAAAGTTGGAAAATACACGTTAAGTCTCCATTTGAAAAATCCTTAAAAATACTTTGGAGTATCAGATCGACTTGAAACTTTCAGGATTCACTAACCAGGAGCTTTTTATCAAACAAGGTAAATTTGAAATCAATTTGAAGCTCAGAAATAAAGCTATGAGGTTTTTTCCAACTCAATACCAGAAAAAGTTGGAAAATTCACGTCAAATCACCTTTGAAAAATCTTGAAAAATACTTCCGAGTATCAGATTGACTTGAAACTTTCAGCACTCCTTAACTAGAAAAAGGCATCATCCATTTTTATCCAAGAGACCAAAGGCAAGATTTTTGAAGATAACAAAAACAAAGTCACAGTCTCATAATTTATTTGATTAGCTACACGTGTTTCGCTCAATAGAGCATCATCAGGCCTAAAATAAAATAAAGTCACTTAACAAATAATAATTGAGGCAAAAACAACAAAAAAGTACCTTGAAATACACACCCTTAACACACATTAATTAAAAATAAACACTAAAAAGCAAGGTTAGGATACAAACACTGAATAAAATAAAAGAACAAAAAACAAACCGCAATTTATTGGAATTGAACCTGCGATACCCAGGATGCCAGCCCAACACCAGACCCAATGCACCAGCGAGATACTGACAATTCAAAGGCGAGAACAATAACCAATGAACCTCAACAAAACTAAGTGGAACTATAAAATTTCTTAAAATCTAATGCAAAAGGAAGAAAGTTTAATAAAGTTATAATGAACTGAAAGTTAATCCGAAAGGTTGTTAAAAATAAGATGAGGCTCAAAATTGAAAACGTCGTTTACACTCCTTAACTAGGATCTTCTTATTAAACAAGGTAAATTTGAAGTGAATTTGAAGCTCAGGAATGAGGTTTTTTCCAACTTAATATTAGAAAAAGTTAAAAAATTCACGTTATAAATCACTTTTGAAAAATCCTGAAAAATACTTCGGAGCATCAGATCGACTTCAAACTTCCAGGATTCATTAACTAGGATCTTTTTATTAAACAAGGTAAATGTGAAGTCAATTTGTGGCTCAGAAATGAAATGATGAGGTTTTTCCCAACTTAATAACAGAAAAAATTGGAAAATTTACGTCAAATCACCTTTGAAAAATCCCGAAAAATACTTCCGAGTATCAGATAGAACTGAAACTTTCAGCATTCATTAACCAGGATGTCATATATAAGAAAAAAAATCCAGAATATATGTAGAATATCAAAGTGAGGAATATTTAAGAGCCAAGATACAAAAATCAAGAAAACTCAAGAATCTGGGGTATGATCAAAAATAGGATTTCTCTAGTTCAATTTAGACTTCAGCAGGGTCCGAAATACGATTTTCATGCATCTCTAGTTTAAATTTCCCTTCTAGGAGAGAAAATTTCGAGATTTCCGAGCTTCTTTTGGTGAATTCCAACAATATCCTTTGATTCAGTAATTTTAATCTTAGGATGATCAGAAATCGGATTTCCTGGTCTAATTTTGATTCCAGCAGCGCCGGGAATAGATTTTTTTTGCATTTCTATTTCAAATTTCAGGTCTATAATGGAGGAAACTTTAAGATTTTCAGGCTTCTTTTGTTGAATTTCAGCTCACGAGGTTCAAAAATGCTTCTAATTCAGAATTAACTATAGAAAAATCAGATTTCAATAATTCTCTAGTCTAATTTAAGCTTCAACAGGGCTATAAGACTGAAAGTTTCATAAATGTAATTCAAATTTCAACTTTTAGTAGAGTCGATTTGATGATTTCTGAGCTTCTCTAGTTGAATTTCTGCTCTAAAATAAAAATATTCTCTCTAGAAACTAAAATCAATGTATAAATTTACCTTCTGTTCTAGGACTAGAAATTTTTTTTTCCTGAAAAATACTCAATTTTGAGTAGTACGCATTTCTAAACCAAAAAAGATGAAGATTTCTGGCTTGCATAGTTTGTAGCCCTAACATTTTTCATATTGTTGATCTCGCTTAGATCAAAGATCAAAGTGTGCCATTAATTTTTTTTTCAAGATTTCAAGTAAATATTGACTTCAAAATCTTCTTATCTCTGGAATGTAGGAACTTTTTGGGACTCAATTAATACATTTTAAAATCAAAATCAACTTCTTTGCTACTTTTGCTTTGCACTCGATATTTGAGTAAACTAACAATTTTGGCGGCAAATCGTAATATCAAATTTTTATTTTTATCGCAATGTTTAAAAGTCAAATTCAATGACACAAAACCTCAACCAATCGTATAAATTCTCGGCAATTCTCTTTCCTAAGAACAACATTGATTAAGCGCCTGTCAATAGTTCATATTTTTTCTTTTCTTCGTCTTAATAAGGCTGGATGGGATAGTGAAATTCTAAATAATTACAGATAAAGCTTGCGTTTACAACGTTAATAAAATAAAGAATTTATTGTTTACTTTTCAGAAGTTATGTTTGCGACCTTCGACCCTCGACTTGATGACAATCTTACAGCCTTTTACTTTCTAAGACAGTTATTACATGAATTGGGGTTCAATATTGTTTCGATTATTACCTACATTATATTCAAAATTCCATCAATACAAAGACCCCATTAATATACTTATATGGCCTGTTGATATTATGTTGAAAGGGTCATCATCATCAAGTTTACGGGTCACCAGATAAAATTTATTTTTATTTTATTGGGCTTTTTATTTCGAATTTGTTTACTTATTACTTTGGAGATTCGACTTTAGCCGAAAAATACCATAGCATATATAGATTAATAATTATTACAGGAGGAAATTCATTAAGTTTGCATCAGAGATTTATTGTTTTATAATTGCCCAGCCAAGCCAGGCCGTAACAATAATTAACTTCTTTGGAGGTACATACCTGATCGCACGACATAAATTTTCTTCCTTGACAGGCGCTTATTAAAACCTTTAGATGTTGGCCATTTACATTCAATTTTAATTTTTAAATAAATCTATTATTTTTAACACTTAGGGACGAAATAATAGAGCGGCTCTAATGTTACGACAGGATGAATTGGGTGGGCTTAAATATAGGCCACCTGGTTACAGCTGGTGTTTATGTTTTTTCTTTTTCGGTGTTTGTAGTACTTAAAAGTTAATTCGTCTTGGAGCTTTTGTTACCTTTTTTATGACCAGATAAATTTTATAGGATAATTGTTACTGGAAAAGAGTCCTGATGAGTCTCCAATAATGCTAAGTATCCAGGCTCCAACGCTCCAACTGATTCTTCGGCCTCTTATAAAATATACTCTGAGTTTTATCTCAGATACGAATGGTGTTAATCAAATTTTCTGCCTGTCCCATAATTCTGAACCAAAAGGTAGGTAGGTATATGCAAGTTTTGGCCTGAATTTATCTTAATTCTATCAAAAGCTTTTTTGATATCCAGCATGTTTTCTTGCAGTTGAATTTATTGGGGATAAATGATAAATTGGAGGCAAAATGTTAAGGCTACCAACTGTGCAAGCCAGAAATTTTCATTCTGTTTGGTTTAGAAATGCAGAAATTTCAGAGCACTTTGGGTAATTACCTATGTACCTCACAGGTTCTAGAACACTAGGTAAGTTTAGATATCCATTATTTCTAATAATAAATTCACGAAATTTTAAAAAATCATTTTATTCACGAATTTTGATCCTAATTTAATTTAGAGCCCTTATTCCCTTTGGGAGAATTATAAAGAATGCCTAAAAGACTCATAATACTTGTGTAATTACAGGTGATTTTATGTAATATAATTTTGGATTAATATAATGGCATATAAACGCACTAATACAATAATGAAATTGTTGAAATACCTAATTCATGCTCAAGGGATAGAAACTCCTTATCCCATTGATTTTTCACTTATCGCAGACTGTATTTTCTGAATTATAAGAAACTTATATCAAGAAAAAATTTAATCAACTTAATCCACAAAAATAGCTGAGGGGATCTCAATGCTGAATAAGCATAAAAAGGAATTTCTATGAGGCTTATTTTGAAATTGCGTGATTATTAAGTTTTCTTCAATTCCACAGAGTTATTTAATCTTTTATCCTACGGATTATTAAATTATTAATATCTTTGAGTGAAGTAAACTTCAACGTTTATTTTGAAATTAAATGAACAAATTCACTTTAGATTCCGAATGTTAGGTAGATAGGTATGTAATTTTTCACTGGATTTTTGAATTCAATATACTCCTTCAAAGGGCGGTTGAAACATTATGTCAAAAATAAATAAACTAATTCAAAATCCGCATAAACTACTCAAACTCAAACAGCAACTTTGAAAGCAAGAAACTTCGAATGGTAACTAACTAATCAAGCTTTGCCGCAGAGCAGAAGTCGTATTTAATTCAAAAGGGCTTCTAGAAACTTTCTGGAAAGGCCAACGGCTAAATACCTAATAGAAGTATTAATAAATAATAATTCACAAGAAAAACTTAATATTTTTCCAAGACAACCAAAAACTTTTCTTTTGACTCACCTTCCATATTTTCTCCCGATCCTCTAATTATCCTGAACACTCAAAAACATTTTTCCCAAAAAAGTTTTCCACACAAATAATCCTCATTAGGACAATGGACTCAAAACAATCGACGATCGTAGTTTTTTTTTGTTTTTGTTTCAAAACGCGCGCGAAAGTTCTCCGTGACTCGAAAACGAACCGCGAATCGGAAACAAATGAATGAGAGTGTAGAGAGAGAGTGTAGAGTCGAGTACTGTGATTATTTTTATTTGATGCTGCTGAAGAGGCCGGACGACGCGCGAGAGCATCGCAGAGATTGGCCCATCGCCCAGAAGATTTAAAGGGTAGTTTTGGAGCATTTTGGAAAGTTTATTGGTTTAGGAACAATTAATTAGTGTTTGAGCGTGTATTGCCAGGAACTTTATAGAGTAAATAGAGCAGTGGTTATCCTACTGGAAAAATACAGTTTCGTTGTTAGTTATATCAGAGAATTTATATCCACAAACCCAAGAGGAAATTTGGGAAAAATTGATGCAAAATTGGTAGAAGAGTAGATTTAAATAATATGTTGTTTATTGGTTGTTTCTATTCCAGGCTCTCGACTTTTCTCTATTTAGAAGAATTGCAGAGAGAGAAAAGAAATTTGAGAAAAACTAAGAAAAAATTGGTAGACAAATTAACATGTTTTCTATTCCAGGCTCTTGAATTTTCTCTATTTAGAGAAATTTAGAGTGAAAAAAAAAAACGAAAATTCAAGAGCCAGGAATAGACAAAAATTAAGACTAAAAAAATTAAAAATATTAGAACTCATAAACAAAGTCCATCAATCAAATTAACTAAAAACCCAATCAAGAACAGGCAATAGACAAAAATTGACTTTTCAATCAAGTCAAACCGAATATTTGAAGTTTCCCTTTCAAAGAGTCTCTATTTCATACATAAATCCTGGAAGTTTGAGGTTGCTGGCTAAATTTGTAAATTTGGAAGTCAATCAATCAAATTAACTAAAAACCCAATCAATCAAATTAAACCGAACATTTCAAATTTCAAGTTTTAAAGTTTGCCCTTTCAAAAGAGTCTCCATTCGATAAATCCTGGAAAAGAAAATTGGCTCAAATTATGTATAATTCGAAAGAGCATTGAATTCCCTTTAAAATTGTTATAAACTTGTTCTAGTGGGCTGAGCTATCAACGTTCAAAGTTAGATTACCATATGTATGCTTTTGTTGATTAGTTGTGCCTATACTTTTTGAAAGGTCATAACTTTTTTTCTATTAAAGATAGAAAAGCTGTAAAGGACTAGAATTCCTGAAAATTTCAGCTCATTCGGACTTATAGTTTCAGTAATAAAATCGTGTTAAGCAATTTCGGATAATTTTTCAATTTTTCTGAGTGCCTTTTTTCATAGATTTCGACTTCAAATCTAAAAATAATTTAGTGTTTGTAGTGAGGGGATCCCAAAGGACCATTAGGACACAAAATTTCGACAAAAAAAAAAATTGGAATTTCATCGTTTTAGTAAGGATCGAGGTAAGAAGGTACCTTATGATTTAGAGTTTAGAAAACTTTGAAAGGTCATAACTTTTTTTCTATCGAAGATAGAAAGCTGAAATTTTCTGAAAATTTCAGCGATTCTCATCCCAGTAGAGGACTATAATCCTTGAAAAAATTCCACTTCATTTGGACTTACAGTTTCAGAAATAAAATCGTGTTAAGGAATTTGGGGTGAATTTTCAATTTTTCAATTTTTCTGAGTGCCTTTTTTCATAGATTTCGGCTTTAAATCTGAGAATAATTAAATGTATGGAGTTGCGGGGGTCCCAAAGGACCATTATAGGACACAAAATCTCAACAACAAAAAAAATTGAAATTTCATCGTTTCAGTAAGAAGGTACAGGGTGTTTTTTTTTATATATTGACACCCCACCTACAGCCTTTACCTTTACAGGTAGAAGAAAGGTGTACATACAAAAGTTGTACACTTTTGGCTGAACTTCTAGAAACCATGAACAGAAACAAAATTTCAATGTCAGAAATGTGAAATTTTGCATGCTTTTAGCTTTTTTCAAATAGGATGCCCTATAGGTATTTCATTCTATATTCTTGAAGAGCACAATGCCCCGATTCCGAAAATATATAGTTTGTCTATATTTGGTTGAGCCGTCTCCAACATATTTGGTTCTAAAATTTTTTAAAATACTATCAGATAAACCAAGTACCTCAAATTTTACCTGCAGCTTTCACCTGTACTTGAACAATAACTTATTATATAAAGTCAGAATTTATAAGATTATCCACTTTTTGTCAATTCGCCTTTCAACAGGAATTAGTAATGTTACTTTACCAAACTAATAATATATTGTGACAAGTTATTCAAGTACAAACGAGTGGATTGTTGCGCAACTTATGAGTGGACCCAGCCATTTATTCACCAATATGTCGTTCAAGTACAATACTAACCTGATTCACTCAGTTGAGAATTTTTCTCATTAGTTCAAAAACTACACGTTTCAGATGAGTGTCTTATTTGAACAGTTCAACAGTATATTGGTGAGTAGATGGCTGCGGAACTCGCTACGCTCGTCCCGCAGAGGTCCACCCATAAATTCCACAATAATCCACTTATTTGTACTTGAACAATAACTTATTATATAAAGTCAAAATTTGTAAGATTATTCACTTTTTTATCAATTTGCCTTTCAACAGGAATTAGTAATGTTACTTTACCAAACTAGTAACATAATGTGACAAGTTATTCAAGTACAAATGAGTGAATTGTTGCGGAACTTATGGGTGGACCTCTGCGGGACGAGCGCAGCGAGTTCCGCAGCCTTCTATTTATCAATATGTTGTTTTATTACGATACTAACCTGACTCACTCAGTTCTAAATTTTTCTCATTAGTTCAAAAACTACACGTTTCAGGTGAGTGTCTTATTTGAACAGTTCAACAGTATATTGGTGAGTAGATGGCTGCGGAACTCGCTGCGCTCGTCTAGCAGAAGTCCATCCATAAGTTCCGCAATAATCCACTTATTTGTACAGGGTGTTTTTTTATATATTGACACCCCACCTAGAACCTCTACCTTCACAGGTACTACAGGTAGAAGAAAGGTGTAAATACAAAAGTTGTACAGTTGTGGCTGAGTTTTTAGAAATTATGGTCAGAAACAAAATTTGAATGTCAGAAATGTGAAATTTTGCATGCTTTCAGCTTTTTTCAAATGGGATGCCCTATATTTCATTCTATATTCTTGAAGAGCACAATGCCCCGATCTATATTTGATTGAGCAATCTCTCATAATATTCGGCTCCAAAAATTGTAATATCTATCCTACTACTTATTTTGTGAACCATTCTACCTGTATAGATGAAAGCTGCAGGTAAAATTTGAAGTATAGGTACTTGGTTTCTCTGATAGTATTTTTAAAATTTTTAGAACCAAATATGTTGGAGACGGCTCATCAACTAAATATAGACAAACTATATAGTTTTGGAATCGGGAAATTGTGCTCTTCAAGAATATAGAACCAAATCAGCGATTAACTATAAATTCTACCTTTTGTTGACTTCCAATATTCAAATTTATACAATGTGCTAATGCACAGCCAATAGACACATAAAAAACGATTCTCAGCCGTAAATCTAATGGAGCATTAAATTTCCGTTTTATTACGCGATAAGTAAGCCCCTAAAATTCAAATAGTTAATCTACCAGGTTAGCCAAAGGTCGTGCGTGGTGGGCATTTTTGTTGTTTTTTTTTTTATGCGCCAATGAAATGTCGTTGACCGAGTACATAATAATAATAAATGGATTTTGAAGTAAAAACTATACAATTTGTTTACTCAAAATCTATTCTTCTTAATGTTAAAATCAACAAGACCCAAAAGCATCATGATCCCTACTTAAAACTAAATTGTTTGTATCTATTAGGCTCGGTATTGTTTGTCTTTGTTATCTAAACAGAAGCCACTTTGGGACAACCATCTTCGGATACATTGAATGTTATTGTGTTTACTCATTATTTGGAATAATAATTGTCTGGATATTTTAAGGGTTTCCCTAATGCGAAAAAAATTGACTTCTAGATTAGAAAGTGTATATGAAGATTAGATAACTATGGCAAATAGTAAATTTTAATTTGTATTCTAATCTAAACAAATATAATTAACTAGGCCGAATCATAAAACTAATAATTATAACGTTTCCTGGACGCCATTGTTATGTCAATAAATGTTAAATTTAATTTATTTACTTTACTTATTCAGTTGTATTATGAACCACCATCAAGAAATTATTCAAAACTTGAGGAAAAACAAACCAAAATAGAGATTAGGTTTCTCGACTCTCAACTTTCCAATCTAAATAAACTTTTCAGGTGTCCAAACTAACTTTTCCAAACAGCTAAATCAATTTTTCAAATACTTGAAGACCCTTCCGTTCAAAATATTTTGCCCAGTTGAATATTCCTACGATTTTAAAAGTAATTTTGTCTCAAGTCCTCAGACTCGGGAAAACAACAATTTAGTGTTAAAAGCAAATCCCTCAGTTTAGAAATCCGAGATTTTTCTATGCGCTTATATGCACCTGTATTTCTACCGGAAATAATTTCTCGGTCATTAGGGAAAAGGTAAAAATTCTAAATCGTGTAACTCTGGAATTTCCGCATGCATGAAGTAAATTTTCGAGAACGGGGAAAAAGAATATTACCTATTAACGCACCAAAAAGTACCTAATGTATAAAATTAAGGTGCGAAATGTAGAATAAAGAGTCCTTTTAGAAGGCTAAATTTTTTAAATTATATTCCTGAGAAATTTTGCTAAAAGAAACTAGAAAATAGATACAAAACTCTAGATTAATAAATATTAAACTTATAATAATTAGGACTCGAATTAGGATAATCAATAACAAAAAAATTGCAAAAAATACGAGATAAATTCCTCAGACATATCATAATTATTTTTCGATGTTCTCATTTTGTAACGACTCTCGATTTCCTGGTTTCTAGAATCGGGATTACCAAAACAATAAACCCGGGGCCGGGAAAAAATCCACAAACAATAAGGAATGTTTCCAACTGGCTTCCCAAACGCAATAATAGCTCAACGTGAGCGACGTCAAACAAATCACGACTGACTATGAAAATAAATCTTTTCGATTTCCTTAGGTTAAGGG